TAGGGAAGGGTAAGTGGAAGGAGGTGAGGGAGGAATGGGGTACGCGCCCCCGATGGGGAGGACTGGGCTGGCTCTGTGGGCTTCTGGGGGTGGAACCTCTCTTGCAGCCCCCCAATTGTCCCCTCCCCCCGATTGGCAGCCTGTGGCAAGTGCAGCCGGGGTGATGGCCGAGTGCTGTGATGTTCCGCGTGTGGGCACTCAGGGCACTCCAAGCCAGGACTGCTTTGCAAGCGGGGAACCCTGAGAACTGTCTGTCCAGGGTGGGGGTCGGGTCCCTTTAAGCACAGCCCTCGGCTAGCCTGAGACAGCAGCTCCACGCTCTAAGTCCTCATCTGATGCCCTGTCGGCACTGCTTCTGGCCATCCTTAACCTCTGTTCAGGGTCCACTCTATGTGGACATGCTAGTTCGAATTAGCAAAACGCTAATTCGAACTAGTTTTTAAGTCTAGCTGCGCTAATTCGAATTAGCTTAGTTCGAATTAACTAATTCGTACTAAGTTAGTTCGAATTAGCGCTGTAGTGTAGACATACCCTGAGGGAGGATGAAAGCTAGTGCCTGATAGGAATGTAAAATTTCGATAATTTAACTAATCAAAGAGGTGATGCAATTTGCATTGACTATTTGATTAGTCGATAAGGGCGCTTCCGCCACCACATGTCAAAGGCGAAAGTGCGTGGGGAGCATGGGGCTAATGGGGGACTCTGCCACGGGGAGCACGGGGCATTTCAAAGCGGCAGCGCTGCATGGAGCCCAGGGTGAGCAGGGGACTCCCAGCTGACCCTGGGCTGCATGCGGCATTTAAAAACGGCAGCCCCACGTGGAGCATGGGGTCTGACCCCAGGCTCCATGCGGTGCTACTGCTTTGAAGCACCCTTTCTCTTTCTCCTCCCTTGCTGCCTCTTTCTGATAGAGGCAGCAAGGTGGGAGGGAAGTGTCTAGTTGACTAGTCATACACATCCCTAGGCTACGTCTACACTACAAGTTTTCTCGGCAGACAATATGCTAATGAGTGACTCATTTGCATGAGTTGTGATCTCATTTGCATCTATTCTGCTGATCTGTTTTAGAACATAAGAATGGCAATACTGGGTCAGACCAAAGGTCCATTTAGCCCAGAAGTCTGTCTGCTGACAGTGGCCAGAGCCAAGTGCCCTGGAGGGAGTGGACCGAAGACAGTGATCAAGCGATTTGTCTTGTGCCATCCATCTCTAGCCTCTGACAGACAGAGGCCAGGGACACCATTTGCGCAAAAATCCGTGATATTTCACTTTTACAGCTGTATTTTTGGCACTGCACATAAGATTTCAACTGGCCAAATCGAAGTATTTTTATTATATTTTGTTCTCTTTTGCTTTGAAAGGAAAAGAATTTGGGAAGGCTTCGTGGCTGTTGGGGGTGGGGAGGATGCTTGGCTAGAGAGTGGAAAAAGTACTTCTGAAACCGGAAAAAAATCAATGGTTATTGTGAATTTCACCCTTGTATCCAAATTACATTAATTTTTTCTATTCTACCAAAAGTCTGTGTCAAGATCAAGCAAGTAATAGACTACGTTGCAGCCTGATTATTTGACCATGGCGTGATACAATTGGGAACTCTGTCTAAACTAAACTAACTTTTTAATGAAAAAGTTGAGTTTTTTTTAAGCTTAAGCACGTTGCTCTTTTATATAGTGCTGTATAAACCTTTTTTTCTCAAAAGCCTCTTCTGCAGGATAATACAAACAAAAACCTTTTTCAAAGGTTATTAGGGCCAATTGGACAAAGGTTATTAGGGTCAATCAATAAAGTACTTGGTTTTAATTTCAGTACAAATAAGCTACCTGCTTCAAGCCAAATGCTTGATTACTGACATTTATCACTTTTTTTTTTCCAGAGAACAAGAATTTAGTGGCCATACAGAGTCAAATCAATGGTCCATCTAGTTAAGTATCTGATAGTGTCCAGAACTAGCGCTCCTGATAGTGTACTCAACAGGCCACCCCAGTTTTCATTTTTTTGCTTTTGTCAGAGATTTAGGATTGCCTGTAGCGTGGGATTACATCCCTGACCTTATTGACTAATAGTCTATAATGAACCTATCCCCCATTAATTTATCTAATTCTTTTCTGTGTCTAATTATACTTTTGTCCTTTATAGTA